CACACCTCACCCCCAAGCCAAGGGAGTGGCCTTCAGGTTCCCCCAGTCCCACCCTCAACACCCTACACCACCACCTGACCCCACCACAAGCCAAGGAGATGGGCGCGGAGCTGCCCAGGTCGCCAGCACCTCTGCCTGGGAGCTCCACCCTCTAGTCATGGTGGAGATGGGCAGGCCGCAGGGTGTGGGGGACCGCGGCAGGGACCCTCACGCCACCCCACTGCAGGAGACGCTTCGTCTGAAGGAAAAGGAGGGCTGCCCCCAGGCCTTCCATGCCCTCCTGTCCTGGCTGCTGACCCAGGACTCTACAGTCATCCTGGACTTCTGGAGGGTTCTGTTCAAGGACTACAACCTGGAGCGCTATGGCCGGCTGCAGCCCATCCTGGACAGCTTCCCCAAAGGTGGGTCCTGGTGGGCTCGGCCATGCTGGGGGCCTGGGGCAGCTGCTGTCACCTGCTCAGCCCAGCTGGACTGGAACCAGAGTGGTGTTTGAGGAGCCCGTGGGTGATGTCCCAGGACCATCTTGGATCCTAAGAGGCAAAGGGGCCAGACCTCACCCACCTGGCCAGGGTGTCCAGTTTCTGGGGCCCATCCTCCCCCCGGAGAAAACCCTGAGGCTGGGACCCTGCTCCTGCCCCTGAGCTGCAGATGTGGACCTCAGCCAATCCCGGAAGGGGAGGAAGCCCCCGACCATCCCCAAGGCTTTGGTGCCACCACCCAGACACCCCACCAAGAGGAAGGCCTCAGAAGAACCTCGAGCTGCCGCGCCAGCAGCCCTGACTCCAAGGGGCACCCCCAGCCCAGGTACCCCACAGGGGAAGCCAGCCGGGGTCTCCAGTCTTCCCCGGGAGCCCATGCCCCCTCCCCACCCGGGCTCCCACCCACTGGGCGTGGAGCCAGCCTGCCTGGGGCTGTGGGGGTCTCCTCTGGGTACTAGATCAACACACTGGACCAGCCTTTCAGCTCCCTCCTGCCTGAAGGGTGACCTCCCCAGGCTGGCAAAGTAGGCAGGCGAGTTTCCTTTTACTGATGAGAAACCAGAGCCTGGCAAAGGGAATACCCAGCACTGGGCCCCCTCCACCCCTCCCTCCTCTGGCCCCTGCCCACCAGCACTCACCCCCACTGAGAGGGGAGGCCAGGCTGCCCCCAGCTCCCCCGTTCAGGCTCTCAACTGAAGGCCAAGCCCCCCAAGAAGGCGGAGAGCACCGCAGAGCAGCAGCGTCTTCCACTTGGGAACGGTGAGTGGGGCCCAGTGGGAGCGCCTCCCTTCTGCCTGGCCAGGGGCAAGGGGTCAGGGGTCAGAGCAGGGCCTGCCCTCTGAGACCCTGTCCTAGGGGCTGCGGACATGCTGGCCTGGCGTGTCATTCCAAGGGCCTAAGCTGCACCACCAGACCCAGGAAGGGGACACCTTGGGTCCATGCACGATCTTGCCAGTCGCCCCTGCCCCCACCACACCCTGGTTCTGGGACCCCCTTCTCAGGCACTTCTCTGCCCATCCACTCCCTGTCCTTCAGGACCAGTCCAGACATGGCTTCCTCCAGAAAATCATCCCCGGCCCCCAGCTGCATGCAAGCTGGACTCTTCCTGTCCCCTTCTCCTTCCTTCCCAGGGCTCTGGACTCCAGAGACCCCCTATGCCCACTGCTGCCCGCCCTGAGGGCAGAGTCTAGGAACTCTGTGTCCCTCCCAGCACAACACAGGGCCCATGTCATGGTGGGGGCTGGTCATTGGGCATTCCTTCCTCTCCATTGTGCCAGCTCTGCTGACACTGCCACCCCCAGCACACGCACACATGGGTGCACACACGAACACACACGTTCTCATGTCTCTGCCCTTACCTGTGGGTTGTCTGCACAAGGCGGGGCTGGGCTCCCTCCTCGGCCTGCCCTGGCTGGAAGGAAAGGGCTCTGCAGCCCCGTACTGCCTGCTCCTGGCACAGAGTTTGTGCTCAGGAACTGTCTTCCCCATGGGTGACCCCAATGGGTGCTCCCTTTCCCAGGGATTCAGACCATGTCAGCTTCAGTCCAGAGAGCTGTGGCCATGTCCTCTGGGGACGTCCCGGGAGCCCGAGGAGCCGTGGAGGGGATTCTCATCCAGCAGGTGTTTGAGTCAGGTAGATGCTGTGGCGGGGAGATGGGACTGACGGGGAGACCCAGGCTCCAAGATGGAAGGAGGATCGCGCCCCCGTGTGCCCCTCCGCGCCCCTCTCCACGCCCCTCCACGTCCCTCCGCGCCCCTTTGCACCCTGGTGGTCCCACAGCAGGCAGGGCTGTCGCTCATGTAGCCAGAGTTTCTGCCTGTGGTTCTGATGACTTTGGAGGAGGAGGGTGGGCACTGAAGTCTCCCTGTCGGGGGACCTTCTTCAAGGCCGGTGGTCCAGGCCCACATCCCAGCCCGGGATGCGCTGCACCCCCAGTCACCTCCATCCATGTGCATGGGCCCTCCTGGGCCATGTGGCTGCATCCTTAGAAAGTTCTGTCTGTGCTACTGAGATCCTCCAGGGTGTCTGCACTCTTCAACCAGGACAGCCTGCAGCGTCCTCGCCCCCCATTCCCTGGCCAGCCACTGACCCCATGCAATCACCAGTGCCATCTGACCAGGGCACAGCAGGGCTGCTGGTGGCAGACCCACCGTGCCATCGGGCATTCCATCTACAGTCCCTGCCATGGCATCTCCTCGGTGCTGGGCATGGCCTGGAAACACCAGGCACAGCCAGGGCCCTGGTCTTGCACTTCTGGGTGGTCCCAAGACCCACTGTGTTACTTCCTAAGGCTGTTGGATCAAATGGCACAAACTGGGAAGCTTGAAATGACAGAAATGCCAACATCAAGGTGTCTCGGGGCCACACTCGCTCTGCAGGTTGCAGGGAAGAATCCTTCCTTGTCCCTCCCAGGTGCTGGTCGTTATGCGGGTGTCCCTGTGCCCCTTGTTCCTGGGCTCGGGGTCCCACCACTCCAGTCTCTGCCTCTGCGGTCTCACAGCCGTCTCCCATGTGTCCTCTTTACAAGGGCACCAGTCATTGAACTTATGGTCCAGTGTGACCTCATCTTAACTAATCACATCTATAATGACCCCAATTCCAAGTAAGGACACACTCTGAGGTTCTAGGTGGACGTGAACTTTGGGGGACACTATTGAACACCCTGGTGTAGACCTGGGACAATCCCCGGGCCCTAGACTCGACTGGGGTGGGGGCGGGCTGGAGGAACGCAGGCTGTGGGAACTCCACCTGTCTCTGCTAGACCCCAGTCCGGGGCCTACACGACTGCCAAGGCAGGTCCTGCTGGGTAGGTGAGCCAGGACCAGCCGGCATCTCCTCCCAGGGGGCTCCAAGAAGTGCATCCAGGTCGGGGGGGAGTTCTACACTCCTAGCAAGTTCGAAGACCCCAGTGGTGGGAAGAACAAGGCCCGCAGCGGCGGTGGCCTGAAGCCTCTGGTTCGAGCCAAGGGAGCCCAGGGCGCTGCCCCCGTAAGCACCTGACCCTCCCTGGGGAGCCCGGCTCTTGATGCACCCCCACCCCAGGAACAGCATTGCCTCTGGGGGAGTGGCTCTGCTGGGGGGCTGGCGGCTGCTGCCGAGAGACGCCTGGTGCCACAGCCGTGTGCACCCTCGCTGCTCAGGCTGCCCCCATTGCTGATGCCCCTCTTCCTTGCAGGGTGGAGGTGAGGCTAGGCTGGGCCAGCAAGGCAGGGCTCCCGCCCCTCCAGCCCTCCCCAGTGACCCCCAGGTCCACCAGGTAATGCCCTAGACCATAGGAGGGCCCCTGTTTGTCCTTGCTCCCCTCGGGTGGGTCCTGCCGCCTCTGCCTTGACCTGGGCACTCAGGGATGAGCACTGGGGCCTGAGCCCCTCCCACAGGGCAGAGCTCTTTTTCTTTAACAGACAGTATTTTCTCCTGATAATACATAATTGTAATATTTAAATAAGTCAGAGAAAGTGAGGTCCTCTCAGGCTCTTAAAAGCACAGCGTTTGGTCCAGGCTGTACGCACTGCTCTCAGCTGGGCCCATGGGTGGGCCGGGCGCCCCTGCTACAGCCAGGAGCTTGAGGGTCCACTGGGAATGCCAGGCTTGTCTTTGGTCCCCAGCATGGTTTCCTAATGGGGTGGAAGCAGTGTGGTGGGTGCCTGCCGTGGTGGGTTACAGAACTTGACCACTTGGCACCAGGGGCTCTGTGGGGCCCTGGCACTTAGGAGTGACAGGGCCCAGTCCTGCCCTGCAGGGGCACCCAGGCTGGCAGGCGTCTGGCGGATTGTTAGAATAAGTAAGGTCATTGCTGTGCAGGACCAGCCTAGTCTGGCTGTCTGGAGGGATTCTGGAGGAGGTGGTATCTGGGAGACCCCTGAAGGCACAGCAGGCACCATCCAGGCAGGGCACAAGGAGGGTGGGGCCTGCGGGTGGAGGGTTCAGCAGGTGCTGAGGTCAGGAGAGACCTCCCTGGGCCTGGCCCCACTGCCCTGTGAGGAAGGGCGCATGTGGTGGGTGTACAGTTCCAGCCCCTGGAACACAGCAGCCCGTGAGAAACCGGGTTTTCTTCCCAATAGGGATGGCCCCGAGGGGTGTCCGTTAGAGACCAGATGGATGGGGAACAGGTGGTCAGGGTGGAATTTCAGGCCCTGGCAGCATGGGAGCAGGGCAGAGACTGGGGAGTTCAGGTACCCAGAGATGCTGGGGGAGCCGTTTTGGGAAGGAGGTGGCTCTCGGGAGGGTGCTGCACCCCAGCGCAGTCTGCATGGGCGTCTCTTGCCTGTGCCAGAAGAATGAGGACGAGTGTGCTGTGTGCCGGGACGGCGGGGAGCTCATCTGCTGTGATGGCTGCCCTCGGGCCTTCCACCTGGCCTGCCTGTCCCCTCCACTCCGGGAGATCCCCAGGTGAGCCTGCACCTCTGCCAGCGCAACCAGGTCACCCCAGTTCACAGCCACCTCCACCCACTGACCCTGAAGGGAAGCCCCCCCAGGCTCTCCCATCCAGGATGGAAGGGGGCTCTGAGTCAGGTCACTGGGCCATGGGGCCAGGGCCTGGGGTTTTCCCACTCTGCCACCTGCCTCCCAGCCTGGCCACACCGGCTGCCCAGCTGGGTCCCTGAGGGCAGCAAAGCAGAACAGAGGCCCCAGGTGAAGATGCCGCCCTGTCCAAGCTCATCCCAGGCTGCAGCCCCCACCCCCAAGCCCCGCCCCAGAGTTCCACCCCAGACAGGGCTGGGGAGCACAGAGGCCACAGAGCCGCACCCCCAAGGGCAGGTGGGAGCTTGTCCACCAATGCACAGGACCCCGGGCTTAGTGGGGGTGGGAGGCCTTCTCTGTGTTCATATCCCAGCACTCCCTCCCCACAGCCCACCGAGCCCTGCCCTCACTCCAACCCCACAGGACGTGGCAGTCTGTGGGAGGAAGAGCTCTGGGAGGAGTGGGGACCCACGTTCAGGCGAGGCTCTGTCCCAGCCCCTAAGTGGCCTTCACCAGGCCCCCTCTCAGCCTCTTGCGTCATCACTAGAATAAGAGGCGCAGCCAAGGGCCTCGCTCGGCTCCTTCTGAAGCCGTCCTCCTTGCTGTCTCTTCCTGCCCTTGATCACCTCCCATTCTGCTGGGTGCCATTCCCCTTAAGGAAACAGGATGGGTCCCGGGACATAAACAGTCAGCTTAGGGGGGCCCCCGGCAGGGCCCAGCCCTGAGAGGCAGGCAAAGCCACTGTGGGCTCACAGGTGTTGGGGATTCCTGGGGTTCATCAGAGAGCACGCCAAGGGGACCCTGATCGCGCTGGCCAGGGCCACCCCACTAAGGGTAAATGTCCCCCTGGGGGCTCTCCCTTCCTGTGTCTCTGCCCATCTCCCTGCTGTGCCTCGGTTTCCCCTCCGTAAAAGGACATGGTGCGGCGGAGCCCTCGAGCCCCACCCGTGGGTTTGGGGATCTGTCACCCGCTGTCTTGTTCTGCATGTCTCTGACTGGTGGGCGCACGAGCAGTGGGACCTGGAGGTGCTCCGGCTGCCTGCAGGTGACAGTCCAGGAGACGCAGCCCCGGGCAGAGGAGCCCCGGCCCCAGGAGCCACCGGTGGAGACCCCGGTATGGCCATGCCCACTTCTAGGCTGGGCCACCCCTCCTGTCTGTCTGTCCCCTGGAGTCCTGTGGGACAGGCCTACCCCAGCCGCAGCGCTGTGCCCCTCATGCACACGCCTGGTCCTTGTGGTCCCCTGCGGTGGGGCCCCCATCATGGTTCCTATGGGCGGAAACCCAGCTCTCCTGGCTGCGGATCCACCCTGGGGAGGCACTATGAGCATTGACAATGGCCCTAGAAGATGTGCTCATCGTTCTGCTGCTGTGAACACAGGAGGGCTACTGTGCACAGGCCCAGTGTTCCCTCTGACAGCCCTGAGGGCCAGGGGACCCCTCGTGTGTAGACGGGGGAGGAGGGAGGACCACAGAGCCAGGAACTGCCACAGGCCTTTCCCACTCAGTGTGGACGCCTTCCACCACACCGGCCCTCCGCCGGCACCCTGCTGCCCTGGTTTCAGGGTCCCAGCAGTCACTGACTCCCGGGTGGTGCCCGGCAGGTGCCCACGGCCCCTCTGATGATGACCCTTGGGTTCCAGCTCCCTCCGGGGCTTAGGTCGGCGGGAGAGGAGGTGAGAGGTCCACCTGGGGAGCCCCTAACTGGCATGGACACGGCTCTTGTGTACAAGCACCTGCCGGCCCCGCCTTCTGCAGCCCCCCTGCCAGGGCTGGACTCCTCGGCCCTGCACCCCCTACTGTGTGTGGGTCCTGAGGGGCAGCAGGTGAGCGGGGAGTGCAGGCCAGGGTGGGCTCTTCAGGGAGCCCAGGACCTACATGGCGGATGAATTCACCTGAAACAGGAGGAGAGGGAGGCCAGGCGAGACAGGGTCCCAGAGGCACAGGGCCTGGGGCTGTGGGGGAGCGTGGGGGGCTTCAGGGAAAAGGGGAGGCTCCTAGACCTCCACTCCAGCTCCTGGCCCTGGGCATTACTGCTCCCCCCACAAGGCAGGACAATGAAGGGGGGGTGGCCCAGCACACATGGGAGCCCGCCCCGCCCTGCCTCAATTCCCCTCACTGCAGTCCTGTTGGCACCGCCCTTCAGGAGACTCCTGCACTCAGCCCCAAAGGAGGCCGGGCTGGCCAAGCGGGAGAGAGGTGTGGGCACCAGGCTTGCCTGAGGGTGCTTGGGTCTCCCCTGCATCCTGGGGATGGGACTGGTCCCGCTGTCCTGCAGCCTCGGCCGCACCGTGAGGCTTCCCACTTGCTCCCAGACCCGCTGTCCAGCCCTGGGTGGTCCCAGGGGAGAGCACGGAGGCCTTGGGTTCAGCTACGTTTCCCCCCGGCCCCCTGTGTCACCCCACGGGGTCGCCTCCCACAGAGTCCAGCTCCTGGCGCACGGTGCGGGGTGTGCGGAGATGGTACGGACGTGCTGCGGTGTGCTCACTGCGCTGCCGCCTTCCACTGGCGCTGCCACTTCCCGGCGGGCACCTCCCGGCCTGGGTGAGTGTGGTTGGCATGGAGGCCCAAACCCACACCCACACCATACAGCTCAAACCACACCCCATCCACACCCTACACCCTATACTCATCCCCCACACCC